AAGGTTAGACAGACTTTGACTTGAATCTCGCTGCCCCAGAAGGTGGGACCATTAAATAATTTTAAGTCTGAAGTAGGTAGGTCCTGTTTGACAAGGGAATCAAGAGCCCTTCAGGGGGATGGGAATGTGGAATTCAAAACAAAAATAAACAGGTTTGTCGATGGTAACAGTAGGCCCTTATTGGATGGTGGAGGAGGCTGGGGGGACTCCTATTTTGTATTTCTGTTTGTAGAATGGGAGCGAGTTGGTGGTGTTCCTAGAGATCAGTCTGAAGACCACCACTGATTTTGTTCAATCTGAATAACTATTGGAATGCAGAGTAAAATTCACAAGTTGCCATTGTCACCAGATTTGTGCTGGGAATGCGGATTGTGAGGACTCATAAATGGAAATTTAAACCTGATTAGGTTACAATGGATTTACCACATGATTTCCTGGAAATGCAAAGTTAACAGTGTTTTTGACAAATAATTTTGGAAACTGTGCCCACAGAGATGAAGGTGGAGTTAAATTGCTTTCATTCATGAACAAACCTAATTGATCTTTGTAGTTGCCACCTAGCAACAGCCTCTGGAATGAGGTAATGGATGAATTTTCAGACTTCACTTAGACCATAAGACCATAAGACAGAAGAGCAGAAATTAGGCCATTCAGTCCATCGAGTCTACTTCGCCATTCAATCATGGCTGATAAGTTTCTCAACGCCAATCTCCCGCTTTCTCTCTGTAACCCTTGTTCCCCTTGACAATAAAGAACCGATCGATCTCCGTCTTAAATGTACTCAATGACCTGGCTTCCACAGCCTTCTGTGGCAGTGACTTCCATAGATTCACCACTCTCTGGATGAAGAAGTTTCTCCTTATCTCCGTTCTAAAAGGTCTTCCCTTTACTCTAAGGCTGTGCCCTCGGATTATAGACTCTCCTATCAATGGAAACATCTTCCCAACATCCACTCTGTGCAGGTCATTCAGTATTCTGTAAGGTTCAATTAGATCCCCCCCTCACCCTTCTAAACCCCATCAAGTATAGACCCAGAATCCTCAAACATTCCTCATACGTTAAGCTTTTCATTCCTGTGACCATTCTCGTGAACCTCCTCTGAACCTGCTCCAGGGCCAGTACATCCTTCCTGAGATATGGGGCCCAAAACTGCACACAATACTCCAAATGTGGCCTGACCAGAGCCCCAGTAGTACATCCCTGCTTTTATATTCAAGTCCTCTCAAAATAAATGCCAACATTGCATTTGCCTTCCTGACTACTGACTCAACCTGCAAGTTTACTTTGAGAGAATCCTGGACTAGAACTCCCAAGTCTCTTTGCACTTCAGACTTCTGAATTTTATCCCCATTTAGAAAATAGTCCATGCTTTTATTCTTCTTACCAAAGTGCATGACCTCACACTTTCCCACGTTGTACTCCATCTGCCACTTCTTTGCCCACTCTCCTAACCTGTCCAAGTCCTTATGCAGCCTCCCCACCTCCTCAATACTACCTGTCCCTCCACCTACCTTTGTATCGTCTGCAAACTTAGCCAGAATGCTCTCAGTTCCTTCATCTAGATCATTAATGAACAAAGTGAAAAGTTGTAGAACACCACTGCCATCCTGAGAAAGATTCCTTTATCCCCACACTCTGGCTGTCTGGCAGAAAGCAATCTTCTACCCATATTAGCACCTTGCCTCTAACACCATGGGCCCTTATCTTACTCAGCAGCCTCCTGTGTGGCACCTTGTCAAAGGCCTTCTTGAAGTCTAGGTAGATAACATCCATTGGCTCTCCTTGGTCTACCCTGCTCGTTACTTCCTCAAAGAATTCTAGCAGATTTGTCAGGCATGACCTCCCCTTGATGAAACCATGCTGACTTTGCCCTATTTTACCATACACTTCCAAATATTCAGAAATCTCATCCTTTACAATGGACTCCAAAATCTTACCCATGTCTGCTGAGGTTAGGCTAATCAGCCTGTAATTTTCTGTCTTTTGCCTTACTCCCTTTTTAAACAGGGGTGTCACGTTAGCCATTTTGCAGTCCTCTGGGACCCTCCCTGACTCTAGTGATTCCTGAAAGATCACCACAAACACTTCCACTATCTCTTCAGCTATCTCCTTTAGAACTCTGGGGTGTAGTCCATCCGGTCCAGGTGATTTATCCACCTTCAGGCCAATCAGTTTTACTAGCATCTTTTCCTTGGTGATGGCCACCATACTCAGCTCTGCCCCTGATTAATTTATGGGATATTACTCATGTCTTCCATTGTGAAGACTGATGCAAAGTAATTATTCAGTTCCTCAGCCATTTCCTTGTTCCCCACTACTATCTCTCCAGAGTCATTTTTCAGCGGTCTACTCTTGCCTCTCTTTTGCCCTTTATATACCTAAACAAACTCTTACAGTCTTCATTTATATTACTGGCTAGCTTACCCTCATATTTAATCTTCTCCCTCCTTATTTCTTCTTTTGTTGCCCTCTGTTGGTCTTTGTAAGCTTCCCAATCCTCTGGTTTCCCACTGCCCTTTGCCACATTATATGCTTTCTCTTTTGCTTTTATGCTATCCCTGACTTCCTTAGTCAGCCATGGTTGCCTCATCATCCCTGTGCCATGCTTCTTTTTCCTAGAGATGAATTTTTGCTGTGTCTCCTGAGTTACTCCCAGAAACTCCTGCCATTATTGTTCAACTGTCTTTCCTGCTAGTCTCCTCTTCCAGTCAGATCTGCTCAGTCCTCCCTCATGCCTCTGAAGTTGCCTTTATTCAGCTGTAATACCGTTACCTCTGATTCTATCTTCTCCCTCTCAAATTGCAGAGTAAATTCTATCATCTTATGATCACTGCCTCCTAAGGGTTCCTTTACCTTAAGCTCCCTTATCAAGTCTGCCTCATTGTACAACACCAAATCCAGTACTGCCTGTTCCCCTGTGGGCTCCACCACGAGCTGCTCCAAAAAGCCATCTCGTAGACATTCCACAAACTCTTTTTCTTGGAATCCACTACCGACATGATTTTCCCAGTCCACCTGCATTTTGAAATACCCCATAATCACTGTGACTATGCCTTTCTTACACGCCTTTTCTATCTCCTGGTGTATCTTGTGCCCCAGCCCTTGACTGCTGTTTGGAGGCCTGTACACAACTCCAACTATGGTTTTGTTTTACCTTTGCAGTTCCTCAATTCTACCCACACAGATTCTACACCATCTGACCCTACTTTGTTTCTTCCTATTGATTTAATTTCATTTCTCACTAATAAGGCAACCCCACCCCCTTGGCCCACCTGCCTATTTTTTCGATAGGATATATATCCTTTGATATTCAGTTCCCAATCCTGGTCCCCTTGCAGCCACGTCTCAGTGATGCCTACCACGTCATACCTGCCAGTTTCGATCTGCGCCACAAGCTCATTTACCTTATTCCTTATACTGCGTATATTCAGATACAACACCTTCAGTCCTGTATTAACCATCCCTCTTCTCATTGTCACTCGTTTTTCCAGTGTTTGATTGCTAGCCCTTTCCAAACACTCTGTCCTATTTGTGTCTGTGCTGGAGACTTTAATAACCTCTCCTGAATTCTCCTCCCCTGTCATTTCTTTCATATTTTTTCCATGCAGTCAAATCCACCCTTACAGATGTTAGCTTTTGCTTTGTTCCCCTCTGGGGCAAGTTTCACCATTCCCTTCCCCTCCCACTTTCTCGTTTAAAGTCCTGTTGACCAGCCTATTTACTCTTTTCGCTAGAACATTGGTCCCAGTTCGGTTCAGATGGAGACCGTCCCAGCGATGCAAATCCCTCCTCTTCTAATACTGATGGCAGTGCCCCATGAAAAGGAACCCCTCTTTCCCGCACCACTCCTTTAGCCACGTGTTTACTTCCCTTATTCTCATTCCCTATGCCAATTAATATGTGGCTCAGACTGTAATCTTAGAAGCTGTGAGCAGTTGATGGAAATGTTTTGCAGGAATGCAATGGTGTCGCTGTCTCTCCATATCTTGCTCAGTGAGGTAGTTTATGGGGAGGTGCTCGTGTCATGGTAATGTGAATTAGTGGTAACTGTATTGGTGTTGAGACTGGACTAGTCACCCACAACCCTGACCTGGGGATATAGGTCTGAACCCCACAATGGCTGATGGTGAAATTTGAATTCAATTAAAATCTAGATTTGAAAGCTGTCCAAATGATAAGTATTTAATCTCTGTCAATTGTCATAAAACCCCAGCTGATTCACAAATCATTGGAAAGGAAACCTCTGTCCTTACCTGCCCAACGTGACTCCAGACACACAGAAAATATAATTGACTCTAATTTCCCTCTGAAATGGCCCTAACAAGCCACTTGGTTCAAGGGCAATTAACGAAAGACATTAAATGCTGGCCTTACTGGCAACATTCACATCTCTGAGTGAATAAAAAAAAACTGACAAAGTTTCAGTTGTCAAGACTCCTAAGTGTTTTACATCTAAATGTGAAATCTGGTCTGACATTTCCCATCATTCTGATACAGCAGCAATGTGAATTCATCGGCAAGAAACTGAAGGAACTGTGAGAAAGTCTTCTGATTCTACCCCTTTCAGTTTGGATTCATGATCCTCGGGCTTTTCATAGTTTCCCGCTCATCTCAGAGCTATGTGTAGGGGTTGGTGCACTGGGCAAGGGAGTAGGGCTGTTGGGGGGGTTGGTGCATTGGACAGGGGCCTGGGGCAGTCTGGGATGTGGGGTAATTGTTGGGGCTGTGTGGGTTGGGGCTGTTGTAGGGGATGGTAGGTCTGGGAGGGTCTGTGTAACTGTGAGGGCTGGGGGGGATCTGGGAGTAAGGTCTGGGTTAGTTAGGGGGCTTGGGAGTAGGGTCTGAAGGTAGTTGTGGGGGTTGGGGGGTGTAGTCTGGGGTAGATATTTGGGGCTGGGAGGATGGGGTCTGGGCTAGTGGGGGTTAGTTACAGGGCTGGGGGGTGATGGTGATGGTAACAGTCAGAGTCAGGCTCGATGACTGATTGTTCCTGTTTGCAGACTGTCCAGGTGAGCAGATTCTATTGGTCTGTGGACGGACCTGCCCTCGATCGTGTGATGATCTCTCTCCAGATGTGGTCTGTCTCAATGATGATGTTGGCTCCCCTGGTCCTGACTCATCTCTAGTTTGCAGGTCGTCCTGTGGGTGTCCGCACAGTTTGCTCCTTCAGAATGGATCATGTGTTCCTCAGAGTGAGTGTCGCTGCAAATCCCGAGGTAAGTGAGGATGTTTCCTATCAAGCTCACCAATACCAACAAACTCGATGAACCCACAGCGTTATCGATAACGAACCCACAGCGTTATCGATAACAAACCCACAGCGCTATCCGTAACGAACCCACAGCGCTATCCATAACGAACCCACAGCGTTATCAACGACACCTCTGCTCCCCTAGAGCTCAGAACTTTCTCATCAAGAAAATTCTCAACATAATTCAGAAATTTCCTTTACTCCCTTAAGGATCCCAGTTGATGCTTCAACTTTCCTAGTGACCATGCTTCAATATTCTCACACATCTCTCTGACTTCCTGCAGATTTATGAATCTAAAAAATATGAACAAAACCATTTTAATTGAGAGTCCACCTGCATGCCCTGGTATATCCCCCACTCAGCAATTACCATCACACTAGGGGATCAACCCTGGTTCAATGGAGAGTGCAGGAGGGCATGCCAGGAGCAGCACCAGGCATACTTAACAATGAAACAAAAACATAAATTTCTACAAAATCTCAGCAGGTCTGGCAGCATCTGTGGAAAGGAGTTAATGTTTTGGATCCAGTGACCCTTCTTCAGAACTGGTTGTAGTTTGGAAAATGTTGGTATATATGCTACAGAAGAGGTGCGGAGTGGGGACAGGAGTAAAAGGTAGATTGAGATGAAATCCTGAGAGATTTTCTGATTTGGTTTCATTTGAGTTTATTGTTACAATTACCGAGATAAGGTGAAAAGTATGTTTTACTGCTCATGAGACAAACCATACCTTACGTAATCAGAGTGCGGAATACAGAGTTACAGCTACAGAAAGGGTGCAGAGAAAATTCAACTCTAATATATGAGAAATACATTCAAAAGACTGATAATAATTCTGACAGATTTAAAATTGTGATTTAAAAGAGTAGAACAATATAATAGATGTAAGAAGAGGATTTGCTGTGGCGCTATCTTGCTGGACAGACACAGGAATGGGTAAAGGTCAGCCTGGTTGAGTGAACAGCTGCTAGTGGGGACCATCAGGGCTGACAATGGGATGGTTGTGGTAGCAGCCTGTGGGATGATAAGGCCTAGTGTGTGATGGTTAGAGAAGGTGCCGCAAGCCCTAAAGTTATTGAACTCGATATTGAGTCCAGAAACAAAGTTGCTGGAAAAGCTCAGCAGGTCTCGCAGCATCTGTGAAGGAAAAAGCAGAGGAAGTTCTGAGGAAGGGTCACCAGACCTGAAACGTTAACTCTGATTTTTTCCTTCACAGATGCTGCCCGACCTGCTGAGCTTTTCCAGCAACTTTGTTTTTGTTCCTGATTTACAGCATCCGCAGTTCTTTTGGTTTTTATTGAGTCCAGAAGGATGTAGGGCCCAAGCGGAAAATGAGGTGCTTGTCTGTATTCCCCAGAGTTTCAGAGAATGAGAACTGATCACATTTCAACGTATAAAATTCTCAGAGGCGGGGGTGACAGGGTGGATGGGGAGAGGATGTTTGTCCCTTGGCTGGGACTCTAGAACCAGGGGCAGGATCTCAGGAGAAGGGGCAGGACATTTAAATCTGAGATGGCGGGGGAGGGATTTCTTCACTGGGGATGGGGTGGTGTGGGGTGAATCTTTGGAATTCTCAAGCCCAGAGGCTGTGGGAGCTTGATCACTGAGCAGGTTCAGGACAGAAATCACAGAGCCATAGAGTTGTACAGCACAGAAACAGACCCATCAGTCTAAATCATCCATGCTGCCCATGTTTCCTAAACTAAACTTGTCCCATTTGCTTATGTTTGGCCAATATCTCTCTAAACCTTTCCTATTCATGTACCTGTCCAAATATCTTTAAATATTGTAACTGTACCTGCATCTATCACTTCCTCTGACAGTCCATTCCACGTACGAACCATCCTCTGTGTAAAAAAGTTACTCCTCAGATCCAGTTTAAATTTTTCTCATCTCACCTTAAAATTATGTCTAGTTTTGAACTTCCCCATTCTAGAGAAAAGGTGTTATTCTCCCTATCCATGCCCCTTATGATTTCATAAACCTCTATAAGGTCACCCCTCAACCTCCTATGCTCCAGTGGAAAATAGTCCCAGCCTATCCTTATATCTCAAATCCTCCAGTCCCATCAACATCCTGGTAAATCTTTTCTGAACCCTCTCCAATTTAATAAAATCTTTTCTATAGCAGGGTGACCAGAATCGTACAGGTTTCTGGAGACTAATGACAGTGAAAGATATAGGTGCAGTGTAGGAAAGGGGCATTGGAGTTGATTAGCCATGATGTCGAATTAGCTTTGAGTCCAGTTTTCTACTGAGTCACCTGCTGCAGTGGTGGGACTTGAACCCATTTCTCCAGAGTTTTTGCCCAGGACCTCAATGTCTCTAATCCAGCAACATTTGATGTTTGCCACTGTCACTGCCTCCGGTCAGGGCCGTGACTTACCCCTGACCCTCACTCTCACTGCCTCCAGTCAGGGCCACGATTTACCCCTGACCCTCACTCTCACTGCCTCCAGTCAGGGCCGCGATTTACCCCTGACCCTCACTCTCACTGCCTCCAGTCAGGGCCGCGATTTACCCCCGACCCTCACTCTCACTGCCTCCAGTCAGGGCCTCATCTTACTCTGCTGTTCCTTCTTGGGTGAATTGTGAGTCAGCACAGATATGAGGAGCTGAATGGCCTCCAATCCTGTAAGCACTCGGTAAGAGGAAGGCTCTGCACTGAGGCCCCTGCTGTGATTGTTTTGAACGTGAGAGATTTGTACCAAATCAGGGTGGATGTGGATGTGAACGGGGTTTGACTTTGGACAGCCTCTGGCTTTTCACAAACCTGCACCTTCTAATGAAGCTTTGTGTCAGTTCCCATTCTCACAGGGCCAAGTGTAAACAGCAGCTGGAGTCTGTATCCTGGTGTCGAGGACTGGCGATATATCCATGCAGGAGAGCATGTGGAGATTGGGTGTGAAAACTGGTGAGAACCTGCTCCTCGAGTCCAGGCATTGGTTCCCATTACCCTAGACCCCTCCCTCCTGTATTCCCAGCCTCTCCCTGTTACCCCA